GGTTTAAGAACAAATACCATACCATGTGACACAATTCTTGAAGGTCTTTGGTTTTAAGAGGTCCCTGAATACTGCCATCACGTCTAATGAACACACCCCCTCCTGGACTTTCATATAACATCTTAGTTTTAACAGCACCAACAGTAATTTTGATAACTTTCAGATTACCTACAAAAAATAAACATATTTAATAATTTTGTCAATAATAAATGAAATTCAAGAAAAAATGGATACTCTATCAACTGTGCTACTGTATAAAGTCAAGTCCTGAAGGGGAAGCAGAAAGTCATACAGCTTTTGCAGCGCCAACACTATTTCCATCCTAGGCCCCAGGCCATATGGCCTGGGCAATGGAAATAACACGCTAATAAGTAGATTCTATTATGGTGTTTGCTGCATGGGCTTTGCTCAAGTGCATGAGTGAATGATAGTACAGTACAGTACCATGCTTATGGGTAGAGATAAAAATGTTATCAATGGTATATCCAATGTCTTTAAATCATATTTGCAGTGGCATTCTACTGTACAAGCTTTAGGAAGTGTAGTTTTTATTAAAATATACTGAATATATTAAATTAAAAATAAATAGGTCTTCATAGTAGAGTACTCACATTGTATTTTATCTTGTACTGGAATGAATGACACCGAGTAGATATTTGGAAGCACAGCAGGTTCTATTCTACGCATGACGCCATCAATGTCCCGTCTAACTTTGTCCTCTGCCTTATGATCTAAAGAAATTCCCTGTACAAAACCTGTTGAGTATATAGTGAATATCATTGCCATGTTCTTTATGTTTTTTATTTATTTATATTTAAATAGGATTTTTATAGCATTAGCACACATGTCCAGAAGAACTGCTCAAGCCCTCTCTTTTGGGTAATGGCACATCATTCCTGATGATGACATAATAAATGTCGAAATATTGAATCCCGACACGATGACGTGCATTTCAATACTTGGAGTATGTATTATACTATCTTATCTGAGATTAATCAGTGGACATTTCGGTACAGTAGAAGGTGAATGAATTAAATACATAAATAAGAATAGCCCCCAGGGTTACTATACATGTACGACAGCTTTTCTGAAGATGACATGTGTGCTATAAATTGTAAATCATATTAAATATTTAAATAACAAGTTTGCAGAATCTCAAAAGCTTCAGATGAGGGCAGTATAATAGAGGAATCAGAGCTAACAAGATCTAATAATCAATCAACTATTAATCAATCAGCCAAGTGTTTCTAGAGCTCCTCATGAGTTCAGTATAATAGAGGCAGTAGAGCTAAAAAAGGTCTATTAATCAATCAGCCAAGTGTTTCTAGAGCTCCTCATGAGTTCAGTATAATAGAGGCAGTAGAGCTAAAAAAGGTTTATTAATCAATTAGCCGAGTGTTTCTACAGCTCCTATAGAGGTAAAAAGAGATATTGTAAAAGTGCCAAACGACATCAGTGGTGCAAGATTTCAACCACTGACATAAATCAACAGGATCTGAACAAACCTTCATCGTCCACACCGATGAGTAGAGTACCTCCACTACTATTCAAGAAAGCACTCATGTACGTCCCAACATCAGTCTTCAGGATATTCTTGAGGTAACTACCACCGCCTCGCTTAAATTCCAATTTGCGAGTCTCATTACCAAGCTGTTGATTTTTCTTTAAGTAGTCTACATTATCAAGTTGATCTGCTATAGAATCAGCATTATTATGTAACTCTAATAAGTTGGCATTATTACTTGCGTCAGTTTTTATGCCCTCGCTCAATTCTTCCTCATTAGATGTTGACTGATGTTTGTTAATTCCCTGGCTGGCACTGTTGATTACAGGTGACTGAACCAGACTTGTGTTGCCTTGGCCATCTGTTCTCTTTTTCTTTCTCCGTCGCTTTTTCTTGTAATTTATCATCTTAATTTCATCATTAAAATTCTGATTATTAATTTCTGCTGCACTAGTTAGCACTGTGCCGACATTTTGTTTTTCATGGCCCGCACGAAAATAGTCTATTCTTAGCTTTCGCCCTTCCTTTATCAATCCTGAAGGAAGCATTGACTGATTAAGGGTCTGCACTGCTAGTTTTTGATAAATTTCATTAGGGACGAAAATGGTTGCAGTGAAACAGTTACAGTGGTATGAAGAGGATATGTTAACATTATCCTTGGTAATGTTAATGCCCAATACATCATTGAAGACATACACGATCATAGAGCACACTTCACATTTACGTCTCACATTATTCAGGTTTCCCATAAACACAGCGCATGGGGCAGCCACTGTAGACATGATGACCGGTAATTCTCATTCATTCCACTTGAAATGAAAAACAAAAGTATTTGTATCAATAACTTGATAAATAGTGATTCAATGAAAAGTGTAAAATGAAATGTATTTTTAACATGAAAGAAGTATAATTTAAAGTTTAACAAGCTGATAATTCACACTGCTGAAATTAACTGGTAATAATTAAGCCTACCTAAGACCTAGCATATTTAGAGCCTAGGGCAAGCCTATTTTTTACATACCAACCTGAGTGATTTGGAATCTGTCATTACACCAGTTAGCTGTGGGAGAGGGGCGTGGTCCAGGGGCAGAACTCACAGTTCCAATCACAAAATCAAAGGTTGGTTGTGACAATGAACGCCCAATGCAAGACCACACACGACTACTAGATTCTACTAAGTGCGTGGTTGGCTTGGTTGCTTTGGTCGGGAAAGAGAAATTTTCTTGGTGAATTGATTTTCAAATGACTCAAGCTACTGTACAGCATGACCGTTAATAAAACCAATTTCTTCTAAATTTTAAATGTATTTTCCCCTGAATTTGTGATAATTCGTTATCACACATATACTTTGCTTGTGCTAAAATGCGTGACAAATTCATGATCACGCATGTTTTTCTGCAAAATGCGTGATTCATCCAAAAAGTCACTTTAAAATGTGGGGAAGTCGCACACGATGTGAGACGGTTGGTAAACTATGTTTTATTTATAAATTATTTTAATAATTAGAGAACGAAACGCATTCATTTCCTTATTTTCTGGATGTTAAATACATTGCCGATGAACTGATTCGCGCTGAAACGGATGGCATTCTTTGCACAACTTTATGACTAGGCCCTAGCTAGCTAGGCTACTAGGCCTAGGCGTAGAGAGAGTACAGTACAGAGAGTGCAATAGTAGGGCCAGCCTAGCGACAGTGAGAGTGTCGTATCGTAAGCAGTGCAGTTGCAGTCCCTGAGGCCTAGCCTAGGCCTAAATCTAAATATACTTACATTATTGGTAATAATGCCTAACCATTTAATGCTGGTCAATGGTCAATTGAATTACGCCATATAGTTACACCGATAACTGTTTTTATGTTTGTAAACGCCATCTCTTTTGATTTTTGTTGAATGTTGGCATGGACAACCAAAGAATATTAACAGAGTCTGCATTTTTCTTCTCAAGTTCTGATTCACGCCATCACCGACAATATGCAAGCATTAATTTGTCTTTACATTTTTACGTTTTATAGGCTAGGCCTACATCTTATTACAGCTTTTAAAAGTATTTGTTAATTTATCTATTTGTTGGTTTAACGTCAGTTTTATTTTTTAAACAACAAAGTTATATAAAAAAATAAATTATATGTGTTTGTACTATATTATGTCTTAGAGTTTATGTTTAAGGTTAAAGGTAATGCGTGACGTCATGAAGATCAGTTTTTTTAATCATGGGTTTTGTAGTTTTTCAACATTGACATCATCGAAAAATCGATTTATCGCTTGGTCGTCGGTATGCGTTTTGGCTGCAGTGTGTTACTTTGTTTTTGTGTCTGAACATTAGAGCCTAGGCCTAGGTTTTCTTTATTTTGTTTTTGGAAACAATATACAGCTCTAGAGTCAGAATGGATTAAATTATTGTCATGGTAAGTATAATAAAGAATGATATTTAAAAGGAGATCATGTCTGATTTAGCCTAGGATCCGGCCGGTTAAAAAAATGAGTTCGCTTAGCTCAGTCAATTCCATGACAGGGGTAGCCGATTGGTGGGAGTGGCTGTTTGTTGGGATCGTTGTAGCCTACATCATTGTATTTTGTAACTTTTGAATATTGAAAATGATTTCACATCACAGTGGTACAGGCCTAGGCTTATACTAAAATAGGCTAATGTTTTTGTAAGCACATTACGTCTACGTCCTAGACTTATTTACTATTTGCGGTGAGTATGAATCTCAAACTTAAAGTCAAATTGAATGTTACTGTTTTTGTTAATGGAAGGAGCCCACCCTTCTATTATTAAGCCTAGCTAGGGCCTAGCCTACTAAGCTAAGGTCTAGGCCTAGGTAGGTTAGCTTACGCTTAGTTTCTAGAGCTGAGTAGGTAGGATAGGCTATAACCCCAGGGTAGGCCTACTACTAGCAACTAGCCTAGGCTTAGGCCCTAGATAGATTCTAGAGGAGGCCTAGGCATGCCTAGAATAGTTAGCCTAGGCCTAGTACTAAGTTACTAGATAGGCTTAGGCTATCTATTTTTATTATTAGGCTAGGCTTAGGCTTAGAGCAACATCTAAATCATAAATGAGAACTGAGAAAGAATGGACTTTACTCTTATCAATATCAATATACTTTTTTCAAAATTGAGTAACATGATTCTTCATACAGTGCTTTTTCATAAACACCGTTGCGAGGGCATACGGTATTGTATCGTATCTTCCATTCTCTAAAGGTACAATAAACCGCATCATTCAATAAAATACCGCCACTGGTGTGATGTCATTGTTCATGAAGACTTGAGAAATCGCTCGCTGAATGCAGAGGAAGTTGGCGAAGTAACATTTGAAGTAGTTTGTCTTGAATATGAATTATTGTAAATTATAAGCCTGTTAGAATTACTGAACTGTATCTTGTGTCACAGTACAAAAATACATTTAAGACAATGTTCAACAAACAGTATAAGCATACTATATTTAAGGGACCTACCCATTATATTTACAAACTTGGAAGCAAATTTTACAAATATTCTCAGTTTTTAATTCAAACTGTCTACATATTTGAATCCCAACACGAGACGTGTTTTATTACGTTTCTTGAATTTTGATTTAATCTCATTGGGTTCACTTTGGAATCCGTGCCAACTATCATATTATTTTGTACCCAGAATACTGTACAAACAAATTTGCAAAACAAAAAGAAGATATTAAACTAAATATTAACTAAAGCTTTACGCAAAATATTTGTATTCATAAATCTATAATTATTAGTTAAATAGGCCCTAATTAATGGAGTATTTGATTTTGACTTATTTCACAAAGTCAAATTCATATTACAATAGAAAAAATAGGTATGCCATATCAATGTATGAAAATAACTTAATCTACGGTAATCAAAAACACTCAAAATCTCAAAAGCAATGTAGTAGTTTCACATTAGGTCAGGTCAAATGCTACTGTATATCAGGAAAAGATAAAGGTACAGTAATTATACTTAGACCCTATGCTGTATAGAGTCTGTGATTGTACTTGCTTTCTCGGGTTATACGAAAGCTAACACATTGTTTTTGTATACAGTCTTGGCTATTTTACAGTAAAGTTGTTACATAATACAGTATAACAGCTCATCAGGAAAGCAGGCTCACAGCCACCATTTCTGAACAATTTTGTCATGCTGGTGGTGGCATTTTATTGGATAATGGAATTTACCGTACCTTTAGCAAATGGAAGCTAAGATACAGTATCGTATCACTAGCCAGAGCGTCTCATACAATCTCTCTTTCCCTGATCGGCCCTTGTAGTACAGGCAGGTGTTCACAGTAATCTTGATTGAATATAAATTGTACAGAATACAGATGCAGAAATATCTAAGTTAATACAGTGTAAACGATGTTTATGTCAATTATATTTCAAAATATAATATATTTTTCATAATTGTATGCATGTGTTTCTTCATCAGTTTACATACTATACAGTTCATGCAGAGAAGGGTGTGACTTCATAATAACATTAGTGGGATTTATGTTGATCACTGAACAGTCACAGTTGAGGGTTTGAAAACTGAAAATTTTAATATTTTTGATTTAAAAAAATTAAAAACACAAAATGAATTTTTAAGTGGGCCTACAGTACATCAATCAGTCGTACTCTGAGCACCACAAATTGGGATGACACGTTGGAATTATAATTGGATAAAGTTTAAACAAATTCTTACCACTATTACCATGGCTATAATTGTCATTATTGGGCCCAGTTAGGAGGGAAGCTGGTTGAGTTGGTTTAGGCTCAATTTAGATTTTGTGGTGAGAAGTGTTGAGAAATTTTAGTCCAAGTTGTCTAATGCGCTGAGTTGGATGATTATGATTCTGTTTATACTGAGTTTTTTTTTTTGGTTCAAAGAGGCTGGTTGTTGGCCATAGAGGTTGGATCACCAGAACAAGACATTTTCATTCTAGAATAGACATATCTAGTCTCTTCTAGATTTTAGTATTATTATATTATTAAAGTTTGAATAATAACAGTGATGCATGCTTCCATATTTACAGCTGTAAACTGTATATAATACATACTGTAATCCAAATAATATTGAAATGCAATGGGATTTCTTATCTGAGATTAATCAGTGAACCTTTTGGTAAATTGTATTCAAACTTGATTTAGTAAGGAATCTATATTTAGCCAAGCATTAAGTTTCACTCTTAACAACAATGCATCATTACTCAAATGTTTTCTTATTCACATTAGGTCCTGTACCCAAGCTCTTTATCAGTCTTGTATTGACCTTAAAGTTGCATTGTAAAAAAGTTCATTGTTTACTGTTTTCTACCTGTGTCTACCCTTTGTTAAAATGTATTATGGAATGAATACTGTATATACAGCTGACTACTGTAAATGTTCATGTACAGTAGAAGTGTATAAATTTCCTGTATGGTATGCTTCAATTCCAAGATTAAAAAATTTTCACGATTGAGGAAGATTTAAAGTTGCTTCATTGTTAAAATATTTTTTATATTTGTCATAATCTGATCATGATTTGAAGTGTTCATTTTTTTTCCTCAAAAATCTCAGTTTGATTATGGCGTTATAGATTAATTTTATAAACTTATTATTTTATAAATTTCCTGTATTGTATGCTTCCAAGATTCAAGAACTTTCAACGTTCGAGAAGATTCACTTTTTGCTTCATTGTTAATTTCACCAATGTTGATAATATTTGATAATATTGATATATTTGATCAATGTTGACAATACTGATGTGTTCATTTTTTTTCAAAATCTCAGTTGGATCATGGAGCTGTAAAAATAAGTACTGTAGCTCCATCGATGAATTTAGAGAAACTGAAAGTTGTGCAATTTATAGTGTTAAACCAAACCATTTGTTATTGTCATTGACAGATTCCTATAATTCCTATAATACAGTAAAGTGTATTGGTACATTGTCCACTCATAAATTTGATATTTAAATTGATATACCTTGTTGAGTCTGCTATTTTCCCATCTGGGTGACTTTATGTTAAAAAAAACATACAAATATACAGACATAGGTTTACATTAACATTTAAAAAAAGCAGTTACAATCACATACTTGTACAGTAACTGTATATAAAAGAAAAGTTTAAATTGCTTGTAGAATATGAAATAATGATACACAAAATAGCGTCGTAGTACTGTAAGTTTTGTGGTACACTATTCTCAGCCAATATAATCAAATTTTAAATGAAATATTTTATGGTAAATAAAATGATGGAAGTACAATATGATATTTAACATACAGGGTACTGTAAATTAGAATACTGAGTGAAGGAATATGAATTCTGAATATTGTTGGGAACATTTCACAGCTGTAAATTTTTGCTATTTTATTAATAGATTCATGGTTTCCACATCCCATTATTTTATTTTTGGCTATTATCATATTTCTCCATTGTTAGTGATATCCCTGTGCCTATGTGGAAGGTGGGGTTTCACCAGAGCCTTTTCTAATTTATTTTTGGAAAGAATGGAAATTTCAACATATTGATGTTTACATTGGAAGATTGCCTGACATGTGGTATGCACTCTATTCGAAATGTTAAAGAATGATAATTGATATAATAATAAACATAAAACTGATTAATATTATTAGATAACTATGATGAGTAGAGCAATGTCCATGATTGTTGTCAGTGTTGATGACTTGCTCGTTGATAAATGAACAATCAAACCACAGACTTTCACAACCTCAGCTACTGTATCTCTCTCCTGTATTAGTATAGTGTACCTACCCTACAATACTGTGATTTATGAATTGTTGACAGTTGGTTTGTCACTGATACATTGGTACTCCGTTAAACAACATTTTACAGCCCTGTAGTACTTTATATAGGTTTGTTTAAACATGAAGGGATTTGTTTTAGTTTTGAGGTTAATTGTTTCATTGTTATGACTATTTGGTGTATGTGATTGTTTTTTGTATAATGATTGGTTTGTCAATTTATTGATGTGAATGTATGATCATGTACTTAGTATGCTAGGAGCTAGGTAGGAGTTAAGTAAGGCCCAATAAAATTATTAGTTTATCACCCTCGCGTGCATGCCTTCTACAGTATGGTATTGAAAAAAAAGTATTTTTGAAATATATATATTTTTTCGAAATTTTTTTTTTGGAAAAAATTATTATTTTTTTCATTTTAGTAAATAGTTACTAAGTTAGTAGATATTTTTTGTATTATTTCAATCGTGTTTTTTTTTTAGTTTGAATGTCAATGCACTAGCAAACAACCCCAAGGGTGATATTTGGATTTAGCAAAACAAAAAATGAAAATAAAAAGCCTCCCTCCCTCATCACTTTTCTAGCCTACAGTAGATCTATAGGGCGATAAACTAATAATTTTTTTTGTAGGGCCTAAGCACTTAAACTACTAGAGTAGATGGAGGGGAAGGTCACTGATCCTTGAAGTGTGTATAATGTGTAATGCTTTGTTTTTTTGTTTGATAAATTATTAATTATTTCAATGTCAGTCATACACTATGTACAAACAATGACAAAAAAAAGAAAAACATAAAAAAACATGGAAGATACTAATTATTACCATCAATCTATATAGGTCCATGGGATAAATGAGTAGTTAGAAAAGATACCTTATTTCCATTGGGGTATACTATCATTTATTTAAGAAATTTTTTTTTTTTTCCACTTTGTAATTCCTGTTAGTTTGCACCCTGGAAGTGTTGCCAATGATAACAAGATGAAATATTATTATTAGTATTATACATTATTGTAGGCCTACTCTAATATTTTGTGCAATAAGGGTAGTATTATTAGGGGCCTAGCAATAATTACACATCTAGGAATCTATCATATGCCGTGCAGTGGCCTGTTGCTGAACTTGGATAGACTGATGCCCTTGCAAAATCATCACAAACTTAATGCACACTAGATTCATACTTTCAGACACAGGATGATTAGGCAACAGTTCCAAAATTATTTTAATTGCTAAACTTCTCCTTTATAATACAAATCCTTGTAATACTGCATTCAACTTTTATACTGCATTATAATGAATCTGTATGTACACATTCTGATCATACAGCGAGTTTACAGTATTTTTTTAATTAAAAATATTGATTTCCATAACCCTGAATATGAACAAAAATATTTTTAGTAGGTTTTTAAATTCTATGTTTATGATCAGGATTAATAATAATAATAATTATAATATGCAGAAATTTATAATGCGCCAAAAATATTATCAAAGGCGCAGGGAACAATTAACCCAATTAAAGCGATTTTGTAAACAAAAAAGTTTTCAAGTTAGTTTTAAATGAGTTTAAATTTGATGGTTGTCGAATAGAAAGAGGTAAAAGATTCCAAAGATAAGGTAAACGAAAGTTGTCCAAATGTTTTTAGCTTTTCGCTTTTTGAAGGGGCTTGAAGAAGAAATTTATTGAAAGAATGAAGTGTAATACAAAAAAAATTACCATGTAAATTCCAGAAATGTCTGATTTCTTAACTAAAAATTTAGGCTGATTAATAAGAGGGTCAATCACCTACAGTATCACACCCATAAGTAGGATTTAAGTCGTTTCCTCCCACTTAATAAGTAGCCAGTTGATCATTTTCAATTTTTATTGAATTTCTTATGTGATCCCTAATGTGTGGCGCAAGACCTTGTTTATAGAATAATACAGTACAGTACTGTACAGTAATTGAGTGGATCCCCATATGCAAAAGAAAGTTGGCTTTTCCATCTACAGTAGTAGTGACGTAGTGTTTGCGGTATTTTGTTTTCAGCATTTTTGCAGTTAAAAAGGAAATTGCTCAATGTGCCTGATGTTTCCATGGTTGCAATGCTTGACAGGAGGGCATGACAAGTACTGTACGTTATAAAAATAGATTTAATGATATTTCACATAGTCATAAAATATTAAAACAAGGCTCCAGGGGAAATTTGTTTTCAGTATGTTGTACAATTGAAAATATTTCTCTGTGGTTGTACTACTGAATTTTCTAAGAATCTAAAAGGGTGTTTGGCAAAAATTGTTGAATATTTATAACCTGGGAAAAAATGGACATAGGCCTACTCTGTCTTTAACCAATGTGAATTTTTATCATTTGATGCCATATCCAGCTACAGTTTTAAGTTTAACTGATCTATTCTCTCTTTTTTTAATTCTATTTTTTAATTTAATTTTATCGTTCTATTTCATGTCGCGTTTTCTTTTATTTCAATGTAGATTTTTGATGTGTTAATGTATATTTCTTATATGTTTAAAGTGTATGTTGGTCTATGAATATTTTTAAATTCTGTATAGCGCCGATGAACATTTTTAATGGATATTGTTTTGCGCTTTATTAAGTGAAGTTATTATTATTATTATTTAATTCATTGTTTAGCGAACCCGGCGCCCGCCAATACTGTAATGATGATTTCAAATATAACAAAAAAAAAAATTTCTTTATTTTTATTATGGCCGTTGCTGCCTTAAAATCTCCATTAAATCAGATGTATGTTTCTTCCTAATTAATCAAATTTAAAGCATTTAACCATCCCATTACTATTTATAGCATTCAACAATAAAATTTTATTTTTATTTTCTCCTCCGTCAAATCATTTGTTAAATAAGACAATTTTTTTTTCCACCCAAGTTATAAAAAATATTTCACCTTAATTACTTTTCTGATGTACTTTGACTTTGTGAAGGCAAGGTTATCCATGAAGGATATCAGCAAGATAATCTGTCTTTTGATACCCAAGTCGCCATTGTTCTGGTTTCACAATACCATACTCACCCACCACATTTTACTCAGGTAATGACTACCATAAATATATTCCTACTTGCATTTGCAATGTGACCTACAGTATATCACCACAGTTAGTGGTGTCATCAGCATTTCCAGACATGTGGGCCATAATGGGCCATCTTTCCCTCCCCAACAGCTGATGGGCCATATCCACCTCACCTCAGTCCCACCATGGGTCACTCTGAGGATAAAAAAAATTTAATAGTTCACCTCTAAATGCCAAAAATACACTCTCACTGGCTTTAGTTATGACCTGGGCATACAGTAAGTTTTACAATTATGAACATATATTACAGTATATACAGACAATGTAATTTTGTAAACATTGCCATCTGTTGCATTTACTAGATTAATCAACCAGTGCATGATTTAAAGCATACCAAACAAGAACGAAGGAACAGTTTTAACTGTCAGTGTCTGTTGTACAATCTTAAACACCCCTAAGTGGAAATAAACTTCAAACTTTCAAAGAGTCACGACAAGTTGAAACAATTCAAATCCATCAGTTCATTACCAGCAAATTCTTATCCAAAAAATAGTGTACAATAATTAATAGGGAAATTTTTTCTTGTAATTTCCAATTGAAATTGTATTTAAGATTCAAGATTTATTTTATTCATCTTAAAATTACCAGTACATAAAACACTATTCAGTTTCCAAAGACAGATGATCATAAAAAATATTTTCAAATACTGTAGTATACAATGGTATGTAAACATAAAAACAGATTGTTTTAAATGAAAATCTCAAAACTAGCTAGTTATAAAATGTGTAAAAAAATTTTCCCACGTTTTAGCCCATTATAGACCTATATTAAATAAAGTTTCAGATTGTTGCGTGGTACAAGTAAAAAAGAGTGATTTGCGAAAACATTTATAAACGTATAATACATACTCCAAGTATTGAAATGCATGCCATCGTGTTGGGATTCAATATTTATTTTAATTATATTATATTATTATTATGATTATTATTATTATCAAGGTATCTTTTATTCATAAACAAAGTCAAAATACATTAAAAAAACATTTCTGGCAGTTCACAGAACTGAATTGCAAAAATGTTAAAAATACATTATTTATGAAATTATTAGTTATTTCAATTAAGATTCAAATTATTATTACTATACAAATTATTTATAAAATTATTTTAATATATGTACAAATTAAGGAATTGAACATTCAGAAAGACATAAACATTTAAAAATATACAACATAACAAGCAATATAAATAATCAGGACATAGATAAAAAAACAAAAAAGCACAAAACAAGGGAGGTTTTACTGAGATGTGCTGAGGAAGAAAGGGTTCATAAATAAAGAAAGCAGAGAAAGGAAAAAAAAAATGAATTATTGTCCTTTTTCTTTCCTTTCCCCTCCCTCTTCCATATTCTCCACTCTATAGGTTTTATGATTATAAGCTTTTATTTGATTATTTATTTTTATTGAGGATCCTGACCATAGATGACACAGGGCTGGAGTAGAACCTCTCTGTTTTACACTTATATTCCTTGTATGCAAAGTTATTGCGTTTTGACATATTGTGAGTATTACAGGATTTTGGAAACCAGGATTTAAAAAGATCAGATTCAGATGATTTGATAGCAAAGCGGTTACAGAGAGTGTCTCTACGGGTGGAGAGCCTCTCGAGACTCAGAACAGATAGGGCCGAATCATATTATTATTTTTATTATATTATATTATTATTTATTTTATTTTAATTATGTCATCAGGAGTCTGATTGATTGTAAAAGTTCTGCAAATTTTTCTTTTCAGAGTTACTGTACCTTCTTTGTTGGAGATTTTCTTTCTATGGGTTCATTGAGAAGTTTAGCTGAGGATGCAGCAAATTTTGTTGGAATATTGATTGCTCGGTGGTAAATCCAAATTGCAATCAAGATGCAATCACCAATAACGCTACCAATCCGGCTCTTTCGACCGCAAAGTGAGGGAGACGGCCAAGATGGTCTGCACCTTGTGAATGGCATCAGTGAGGAAAATAGTAGCAATCTTTCAAACAGTCGAGGTGGGAATGATGAAACCAAGGCCAGCCAGCTCATCTCAGACTTAAAATTAGCCATTAAGAAACAGCAAAATGGTCATCACAATGGATGCAATGGAATTGCAGACTTGCACATCGACGAGGAATCTGATATCTCGCAAAAACTTGAAGATATGAAATTACAATCTAATAGTCATTTAAATGGTCATCATGAAATGAATGGAGATGACCACTATAGAACTACATCTTTACGAAAATCCAAAAATAAAAAGGACAGAAGATCACAGAAGTTGGCGGACCTGCCTCCGCCTAAAGAGTCTTTGCTTTTGCGTTTATTTGAATCAAAACTTTTAGACATGTCTATAACCATTACTCACCTATACAAATCCAAGGAACCAGGAGTACAAAGCTACATAGGTGAGTTTATTATCTACCATATATATTAATACTGTAGCACTATTTTAAAACAAATATGATTTTCCTTCTCCTAACTTCTTTTTAGTACCGTAACTATATCCTAACGATCAACCAGAGAACACAAGATATTCTCCATGCTTTTTGTTATTGTACCGGTAGTAAAATGATTAACATACAGTTCAAGAGAAATTCATTTTATAAATCCAATAAAATAATATAGAAAACACAACAAAATTATTTCGTGAATAGGGCAAGACCTTTTTTTTTATTCTTTGTTTTGTGAACTTATTTTTTAAAGATCATCAGAGGTGGGCGGAAAAAAAAAATTTTTGTTTTCTTGTTTAGCAAATATGCTGTAGTTTTACCAAAAACATCCCGATGGAGGATAAAATAAAAATTAAATTTTATTGTTGAATGTAAACAGTGTAGTAATGGGATGGATTAAAATGTTTTAAATTTATATAAATAGGAAGAAATATATACATACTGTATCTTATTTTTGGAGTTTTAAAGTCAGCTCGCCTAGAGCAGAATGTGTACTGGTTGGTACCTAGTTCAACAAGTATCCCTTCAGTCAGCCCTGGTTTTGTAGCAATAGGTTTTCACTGTAATACCAGTGTACAAATGGGTCTACAGCTCTGAATGTCGGGCCAAGCATCACCTGTTAAACTCTACTCTTTTAAAAAAAATTTGGATTTCAAAATAATTAAATCAAATCAAATTTTATCGTAAAGTATTCATAACATAAATAGTGTTATACAGAGTAGTTTTCCTGCTAAGGCCAAATAAAATTATTTTCTAGTTTCAAATCCCCACCCTCATCAAATTGAATAATAAAAAATAAATATCACATTCTATGGCACCTGTTATGAGGAAAAAAAACTGACATGAAACTACCGTAACAATAAATTTTAATACTTGGCTTAACTTTGAAACATACATACTGTAAACAAGTAATACAGTATCGACCACTCCGAACTGGTCCACATTGTTTCCTCCTAGCAAGTTTGAAGTTTATATTTCATAATTCAAAAGGATTGAGTTTTGTGACATCATTGATCTTGACTACAGTCATTGTGTCTATCAACAATAGAATGTGCCCTAATTCTTAAGCTGTGTATTGTCAGACACTCAACATTTATACTGCACCCTGTAGACATTCGTTTTATAAGTTTAATATTCATCAATAGTAAATACTACTGTACATATTTTTGCTTTACAAGGCCCTGTGCAGTTACCTTAACCTATATCATTCAATGATAAAAATCAAAGAAAAATGATCCTGTGAAAGGGAACACTTTTTCTCCAAAAGGTGTCTCCTTTTTAAAGGGTTCTATGATGTAATTGACATCAACTGCAGTTACAGTATGTATCTGACTTGAACTTCATGGCATTTGGCAGCATGGTGAAAACATGTGATGGTGTGTGGTTCTTTTTGTTTGTTGTTTTTGTATTTGTTTATTTATTTTTCAGTTACTTCCTAGTTAATGTTTGCCTTGAGACCATGTTTATTGTGTGACGTGCTATAGATATGCAATAACCATTTACAAATTTACTATTAGAATGATCAAATTTATATTAATTTCCTTGTGTACAGTTTACATGTGAATTTTATGTTGACCTTTCCATTGACCCACAAAGGTGCAATATTGGTCATATCAGGGTACCTCATTTCCCACCTCTCATTCCTGCCGTCATCGTTCTTTTGCTTTATAATGTCCATTAACCTTAGTATTTAACACATTTGGAAAAATTTTAATGGTAGTTGGTCCTGATGTCAGAATGATCAGATACGGTAATTTAAAGACTTCATCTTTCTTTTCAGTGCTACAGTATACCCATAAAATAGAATTAAAATCCTTTATAGAGATGAAGTAATTTAAAGTATAATTATACAAGTAAAATTTAGAAATACAATTAATATTACAGTATATTACTTTTCCAAAAACCGAAAGGTCCACTGATTAATCTCAGATAAAGAAGTATACATACTCCAAGTATCAAAATGCACACCATTTGTATCCCGACACGATGGCGTGCATTTCGATACTTGGAGTACTGTATGTACTCAACAATAGTGACTAGTAGTATGAATATTTAAATTTATTTTTTGTGTACAAGAGACTTGGACAAAATTCCGGAGATTGTGACTACAGAAACCTGCATAAACATTAGGATACTCCCAATGAAATTGGGAGAGTTGGAATATACCTTTGTGAAGGAATGGACCCTTTTTTTGAAAAAGAAAAAAAAAGTAGGACAGTTGATACTGGAAAATGTGAATGATTTGTCAAAGCTCATGTAAATGCATTGAAAGCAATTTGGTGTATATCTTGTTTTTCAACCTATTGTGTTGCAGTATTATGCATCATTGAGGTAATTTAACTGTGGTAAAGCTGATCATGTTGGACCTTGATGCATTTTAAACACCATAAACGTAGCTTACTTGGAGATTTTGTAGTTCTTTCCTCCATGGTTACAGAAAGATCCTGCTGAGATTTTTCCTGGATTTAATTTTTTTGGGTGGGAAAACTTACCACAATATTCATCATGGAATTTAATCAAAACAGTATAAAAAAAATAATTGTTTTAGTCCTATGAATGAATTTTGGCTGTTGATATTTAAAAAAAAAAACCAAACATGTATGATGATAAATGATGAATATTTTCTTGTCATTTATAATTTGTTGATTTATGTATACATATTATATTAACTCATTAATATATGTTGATAGTAAATATAGCAGTTTACCCTAATATGACTAGACAATATCTTGCATTACAGTAAATGCGGCATGTTAACTTGCCATTTAAAAGATTAGGCTTTTAATATCGGTTTAAATCAGCAAGCACGTCTCTCTAGTATTGCGGGGTAATAACTGTCAATTTATTTCATTTCGCTGTCTAAATTCAAGTCAATAAAGCCATATTAAAACCATTACATCATTCATACACATTTGCCGTGCATGAGAAATCACAACAAGGTTAAATACTATAGCACCGACATTGTTTTTGGTAGTTGTATGTTTGAAAGCACGGTCATGCGTGAAACAAACAGCCTTTACACCCAAGTCCACAATTTTGGTGACCATGCGTGAGATCTAGGTATACTGTAATGTGTGAGATTTTGAAGTGTAATAATCGTTAGTGGATTAAAATCTACAAAGAATGGATCATATTTTTCTATTGTGTTTTACTACAGGTTATATTACATTGTATTACAGTAAGGCACAAAAATACATTTTTGGCAAAAAACTGTAATGTTCCAAACACATATTAATATAGAGATAAATAAGTACATGATTGTACCAGATCTACACTCTAAATAACAACTCCCTGATTATACTCATTACTGCCTAGTTTACAGCAAATAAATTTGAAAAGTACAATTTATTAATTATTAGCAAGGGTACTCCTGCAATCAAGGGTATTCCACTGTGAGTTAGCAAGTACATTTAAGGGTACTCCACTGTGTAAGCAAAAGTATTGCACTCTTTAACAAGGCTATCCCGCCTGTAGCAAGGTATCCCACTAATAAATACTGTAGTAAACAAGTATGTTCCATTGTAACCATATCACACTGCAAACATGGGACCATATTTCAAAAAACATCAAACAAAATCACATAAATTTCATTGCAGAGTATAGTAAATAGCTTTGTGAAACAAGTTAGCAAAGGATATCCCATCCAACCTGTACTGTAATTTGTAAACAATACCTCCATGCTGTAAGCAAGGATATTCCACTAGCAAGGATAGCTCACTAGCAGTTAGAAGGCAGTAGTATATCTAGTACGCTGCTCCAAAAATAACTCATGCCCCCCCATTTCCCCCCAAAATCATGGTCAAGTAGTTAGTCAAGTAGTTAAAAATCACCTAAAATCACCTTATTTTGCGAGTTACTGTAGCTCCCCTCAACTGATCATCAAGCCCTCCCCCATCCCCCTACAGTACTTCACCTTTGGCTCTCATCAGCATCACCACTTTAAGACTTCTGGATGCTACTGTTAGAAGGTACTTCAATGCTATCAAGCTTTATCTATGAGGTCCTATATTATGTAAAAATTGTAAATATGATTCTGCAAAACACCCAGATATATTACTACAGTAAAACAAAATGTTATTCATCAGGTATAGCAAAAAAAACTTAATAATAATAATAAATAGTAAATTCTAAATCTTTCATATTTTTGTCTTATGTAGAATTGAAATAAATGTACAGTACAGTGTACAGCCGGATAAAAACATTATGGTTGCTAAAAGCTTTGAGTAAAATTAGGATTCAACTCTTAGTAGAATTTACAGTATTCCACTGTAAATAATGAATGCACCACTATGATATGTTGATTAAATGGCGCAGCAGAATGATGCACATGCAGATACATCATTGCCATGGTCTTGAAGTTGCACAGGAATTGACAATGATAATAACATGAACATCGATCATTTAACAGTTCAGTATTCCTCATCAAGTCATCTGTAATTATATTATATGATGTGCAGTATCTGTGGTGGCTGCACTGTCAACATGTTGATGTTGTTCAAATGCTCTTTAGCTTCAGCTGGCTAATGACATTACATTTCAATCCCATGACCTTAATGACCTTGCTTAATAGACAACCTAAGACCACAGTGAGCCTGCTCTCAGTAGAGCTCAGCTTATATCCAACTCTCTAATGCTCTCCGAGGAGATTTAATAGTAGTTTCCTGCTCCTGTTTTTGGTAACAACAGAGAGGGTTTGTTTTTATAAGAGGTTAGGAGGTGAATATCTAATAACTACAGGACTACCCATATTGTTAAGTACTACATACACTGTTTGATGGTATATTATGATGGATACCTCCTACCTGCTAAGAAATTCAATATGTTGTTGTTGACATGGTCTTTTGAAGTTGATACTTAATGGCTAGGCAATAATACTATTCAACCAAAATGAACTCATGCTGTTAAATAATACTGTTGACTGTAACTTCTTGTTGTTTATTGCATACTGTAAAAGTACTCTATGGAGTTCATTTTAAGATGGTGATAGTGGTCATGGTAAAAAACTTTATTTTGATTTGTTTTAGATTTATCCTTTATTAATTTAATTTACCATACTGATTATTGATAGAAAAGGCAAACACAAAAGGAGGATACAAGTATTAAATTGATTGAGATTTTCTACAGCGACCTACTGTATGCTGAATTCATTTGGTGTTCTTTCTTCTGTTATTACTTTTTATATGCTTTACTGTAGTTATAAAGCTTTTATGGAATACTAAAAAAAATTAGTGCATTGGTGATGTCATCATTATGCTAATTTCTACAATGTGATTGGTTAGTATGGTTTACTACTGTACAGTATATGTAAGTATAGTAATTACAGTATGGTACAGTAGATGATAGAGCTCGTTAAAATTATACGATGCTATTTGATGTAGTTATTACACATAAAGCATGATGAATATAGACAATTACTGTTGAGGTTTCATTTTTTATAATTTAATCAGTACTGATTTGTATTCTTATTTTTTTCAGGTAATAAATTATTTTCGTTGCAAGAATCAGACTTTGATTTTTACTTATCTCAAGTGTTGAATATGTACTGTTATATGACGGAGTTAGCAGAATCCATGCATCCGTACCTAGTATCACGGTAAGATCCTATTTATTACCTAAATTTTAAGCCACAATCGTATTGGACTTTCTCGGTAAAACAACTAGCGTCATAATTGGTCCAGGGTAAACAGCTCAGAAAACTTACCTCTCAGGAAAACTCACTGAGACCAGCGGTTAGTTTAACCAAACTGACCAGGTTATTTTACCAAGCCAAAAAGTCTGATGCGAACACATGTCTCAGATAAAATTCCCTAGTCATTCCAGTCCTATTGTAATTCTCGGCTAGGCCTAACTGTACACCAAGCCGATACGCAGTGCGGGCCGCAGTGTGGCTAAGGAAAGTTTTGTTTTTCTGAGCATGTGCAGATTGTGCTTATCTGGCTCATTAGCATAACTATACCACACATAAGGCTAATTCAAGTTAGACGGCTTAAACCAGCCAGCTTCCTATCCTGGTAACAGTTATAAGTCCTTGATGGAATAGTGTCCTCAATAATTGATTTTCATGATTCGGTTAGTTTTTAACAAAATCTCGTAGTAAAACAGATCAACTCAAAAAAATCCGAGTGCGGACTGTGGTAAGATTTACCCATTGGAATGTAAAATCATCCCTTTTTTAGTTCCAGTGCGATTGCGGCTATAAACTGTGATGTAACTGCTCTTATCATCTGTAACATAATCTCTTACATGATAAGGCATCACCTTTGCAATAAGTCATCTGTACCCTGGGATTAACCTGGGAAGGGGGTAAACATAAGCCTGGTTCATTTCGAACTTTTATCTAGATATACATCCACTTATCTAGTTAAAAGTTTGATGTGAACCACTCAATTATAGCTAGATAAAGGCTTAAGTGACTTAACTTTAAATACTAGAATAACGGTAAATTAACTTGCTTAACAGTAAAGTCGGCTCGGATTACAAGGACACGATTACGTAACTTAGGCATCTAAGCCAGCGTTATTGTATTGTACTACCATTATCATGCTCTGGATGGCAACAACGTACTCCAACAATGCTAACAACAGCAGCATAGTAGTCTCATTAGTCTGGTTTTCAGAAATTATTTGTAAAATTATGGGTAAAAAACCAGCAAATGTCCTTTTTACGAATAGTCGCATTACAAATGACCTTTGCATCATCGACCAAGTAGTAACGTCAAAAATTCTGATTGCTTAAGTTTTCCAAATTGATAATGTATATTATTCTTAATAATAAAATCAGATTTGTTGTATTTATTTATTTATTGACAATTTAATCTTTTCCATTTCCGCTATAATAGTCACTATTAATTCAGTTTCAACAAACTACTGTACCACCAACCACCAGTCGTTAAAAATGAGCGCACATGTTTACGATGACGAAATAAAAAAGTGACGTGTTGAAGTCAGCAACTTATTTGACACCGCAAAGCTAGATTTTCGTGAAGTGCATGTAAACAACACAATTGAGCGCTCTAAAAACTACAAAACAGGACAGAAAGGTCCATAAAGTATACAGACGTTTTAATGAAAATTAAAACAATATTTTGTTAAATGAAAGAATGCTAGCTAGCGATTAAAATAATTTGTTTTTTATCGAAGGTAAATTTAGAACACGCTGCTGCACTGTCGGTTGGTTCGTACTGATCGGCTAGGTTATAAGGTAGTGGAAACTCACACCTTCTCTACATTTTTTTTTAACAAATACCACTTGGTACTAGATTTTCGTAAAATACAGTAGATGTTTTATTAAACAAGCCTTTCCACCATGTGACGTCAACGGCCTGAAATTGGCTGGCTGTTTATCTGGCTCTAACTTGGCATCGAAGGCAATTAGGGGATTATCGTATCATGTTTCAAGACGGGTATAATCTAGATAAAGTTCGACGTGAACCAGGCTATAGTGTTGTTAAAGTTAAATGTGTGGAGTGGAGGTATCAACTTGGTTCAAGGTTGATGGTGCTTGCATTTCTTTTCTTTTTTTCGGTGATCATATATGATTAATAATATTGATAACAAACATGCATTCAATAACATCAGTAACAATAGGAAAGATAGAATCAAGAAAACAATGCCAAGATTCATTATGTATTGCTACTAGAAATCATTATGTTGGGCAATATACTGTAAATTTTGTGACATCATTGCCGTTGTACCAAATGAAAAAAAGATTTGCAAGGAAAATTGATAAATCTATTACTGACTTGCTTAATACTGTCCATGAAAGCCTTCAGGAAAGATTTTACATCCAGAAAAGTAAAAATTCATCTGTTACTTAAAAGCGTAGTGTTTTTGTAAGGTTGCATGAATTTGGATGCATTACACTATAATAATTTTTATTTATTTTCTCAAAAAATAATGAGATGGTCACTCGTTGAACAAACTTAAAAGTATGAATGTGAAATTATAACTTAGCAAATACAAATTTATATAACAGTAGAAGGGATAATGTTCTGTACAAAAGTGTATACAGTAGTATCTAAACATTATATGTTTGCTATGCATGACTGGATTACTGCACAGACCTAGATCATACACATTATGTGGCAATAGAAATATCAGACTGATCTGAATCTCTGATGCATTATGCTTATGAATCAATATTGTGTCAAAACCTGTTAAACGAACTATTATGGATTCATTATATTTCTTTCCCAAATGCCAAATATTAAATGAAAATGAAATTGGCTTGAGCAAAAGGGTGATTTCAAGATAATTATGGTTTTTGATACCTTCATCAAACTATACTTTTTTAATCAAAGAATGAGTTGCAAAAGCCATAAATTATGCTGAAATTAACATGGGAATGTCTAAAATGCCTCCAAATGTTTCTACTGAGTGTTATTCAAAATAAAAATAACTTAAATATTAATATTTATGATATTACAGTACGGCTTCATTTCTCATTATATAAATATATTCAAAATGTTATTTCATTTTTCCTACAGATGTAAAGCCAGCATTGATTTTTCATTAGAGACAGCATGGTTACTAGGGGCTTATCTGGACCCAAACCTGGTCTCGAAAAAACATTCACGCGCAACCAAATTACGTAAACAAATTTTATCAGAGGAGCTTCGTTCAAAACACAGCATCAGGATTAATGGGTTTTTGAAAAACGGGATGACCTCTGTAGACTCTCCAATGAAAAAGCCGATGACCCACACCAGGTCAAGGTCAGATGCATCGCTAGGTACGTGATTCAGAGTATTATTATTGTTAGAACCTGAGTATGATTCAAATCTGTTAGTGTTATCAATGTAGAGGTAATAATATTCAAGAGACTACATGCGTTTCTGAGACTCAACTTGTACAATAATAATACAAATCAATAACTATTATTAATTTTATTAATTTAGGGTGATGGAAAAAGTATGAAAATTAAAATTCTACATGCATTTCTGAGACTCAACTTGTACAATAATAATAATATAAATCAAAAACTATTATTAATTTAGGGTGATGGGAAAAGTATGAAAATAAAAATTCAGTCATGACAGATTGTGTACATTGTATGATAAGGTTTTCAGATTATTCAAACATTAACAATTATCTAATTGAAATTTGATATCTATCATATGTTTGCCCCGATAGCTATGACATGTAGTTTAGCCAAGTATGCAATCCCGACCAGTAAATCAGAATTAGCGTTGGGTGACTTGAGCTCCGGTAGAGCCTTCTGCAATGGCTGTACATGTTTTGATAGCTCTACCAGTATGCTTAATGAAATCACAGGAAGACAAAACTATGATGAATGCCAATGTGAGGTAAGAATACAAGAGGACACAATCTGTGTTTTTTTTTTTTTATTTTCCCTTGAAAGATATTTTCCTTAGATCCTTAGATAGACGACATTGCTTGAACTTAATATAATATAATAATAATTCAGTGTAATATAGTGATGTTTTTGCCATTTCCTGTTGCAAACACATTGAAATAATAATACACTGATAATACTTAAATTTTTTCCTGTTTGAATTTTTTCTTTTTGAAACCAAATATTGATATAAACTCAATAAATAAATATTTCATAGTTTCATAAATGTTTTATGTGCAGTGTTGTCAGTAAACAATAAATATTGATTATAGAAATTTCAATGTATATCTTATCTATTTCAAAGGCACCTAGACTGGCACCGATGATAGAGTTTGTTGATGCATTAATGAACATTGGAAAGCGATTGCAAGGCTTGCCAACACGAGATATGCGAAGTAAGTTAAATGTCAATAGAAATTAATACAAGTCAACATGATTTAATATTTCATTTTATTTGTTGATCTTCAGGAATAAAGAAGAGAGGTATAAATAATATTACTGACCAGCCTTCTCAGATGCAAGTGGTGTTATTGTAAAAATAGTTTATTCTTAATTCTTATCTATTCTTCTGCACACAGTGTCACGTCTCTTCGCTGAAATATCCATGTTGAACATGAATCTTCCAGCTAGGATCTGGTTGCCAACTAACATGGATATTCCCAACCATCATATTGTCAGGATTCCGCAAACATGTGCTGTGGTACTCAATTCCAAGGATAAGGTAGGATATTAAATCGTCTCCTGATTTAAATGTTTGTAGAAATTCAATCCAATCAGATGTACACTCTTTGTACTGTATACTGGTACTGCACTTGATACCGATATTTTATTTATTACAGTATAAAAATATATTGCAAAGCCTTAAAAGGTAATAATGGACCGTTGTGGAGTGTCCATCAAATTTAACAGCTGACCAAACACATCAGGGCCAGGGATACACTGTTTTCCCACAAACACACTACTTGTCACACAAATGCACATGTTTATGTACAATTATACTGTCATTTTGTTGTTTCTTAGAAACAGTGTCTAAGGGGGCGTGGCTTAGCGGAACAATCCATTGTTCACCATTTCTTCCATTAAAATAATATGCTTGTATTTGTTATTTAAGCACATTATTTTAATGGAATAATGTGCTTGTATTTGTTTGTTTGAAACAACAAAATATTAAAATTCACACATATCTTTGATAAAGGTTTATTAATAGTATTTACGGTATGTTATAATTGTCATCATCAGTGTGAATTGTTATTGACATCATTGCTATTTTAATACAAATTATTTAAACCATTGATGTTTTGCAGGCGCCGTATCTTATATATGTGGAGGTACTTGAATGCGAAAACAAACACACATCGCCTGTACCGAAGAAGGTCTTAGAAAACACACTGAGATATACTCGATCTGAGGAAAACCTGCACAATTGCTACGAGAGTGAATCAACCGTATCACCATGTGCTTTCTCCATCTATCACCTGAATGATATTGACCATGATTGCTGGGCTCAAGACGAGGATGAAATACTTGCAGTAAGAAATTTCAATGTTCAAATTGTTCATGATACTGTAAGAATATACCATAGGGTGCACCACAACTGCCCACAATCAAGTAAACATGTTTTAATGGTTTGTTACAAATTCACATCATCATATTACAGTGCAATGGTCACACCCGACTTTATGTTTTTTGTATTTGGTCCATCCATATTTTTCCCGCATTATCATATAATAATATGTGGTAATTCACAATGTTGACACAATGTCTTAATACTTTGTAATGTGTCAAACGTTTCCATGTAATAAAGTATTTTATGGTGCAGTTCTCAATATCAGCAAAAATGTTTTAATATTAAGTCACATACTGTCCACACAATCGTGTTGCACAGTGTTAATCTCACCGTCCACGTAATGTTCTCATTCTCAAATGACAAACTGTCCACACACAAAATCCAAATCATAGCCCTTGTATGCTTCTATCTCCAGCAATATCAATTTCCAAAGAAGAGCACCCCAAGCGATACGATATCACAGTTGTCTCATGATAGTACAACAAGCGGAGACAGTAAAGAATATTACATCGCTGCTGCTGATGTCCGAAGACGACTCAGTGACTATATCACAATGCCAACCACCACATTCAAGGTAAGATTATATTCTTAATTAAAGATCTTTTTTTTTTTTACCTCATTTTGTTTTTTTTTCCCTTGTTCAGTATTTGAATCACCCCAAACTTTGTGTGTCATTCTCTTAAATGGGTACATTTTTTTTAGATGGATTAGGTTGTCAGCCATAATTTAAATATTAAAGAAAACTTACTTTTTTTAGCGAGACCCTGATGATCCTTCGGCGGCAGCTCTGAAAGAACCTTGGGAGGAAAAGGTTGATAGGATACGCGAAGCATCACCATATGGCGTACTACCTAACTGGAAGCTGCTGTCGGTTATCATTAAATGTGGCGATGATCTGCGACAAGAACTCCTAGCATACCAGCTTCTTAAGCAACTTCAGGTGAGTAATCTTGTACACTCTACTTCTCAATATTAATTTTAAAATAAAATGAGTCTTTAGAGCTGTTTCATAAGATTTAATCAATTCTTTATTTTTTAATCAATAAATTATAGGTATTGCAAGTAATATTTAGAGTTTTTTTTTGCATTGTATGTACATAAGTGCATTTATTGTGGTCAAATCTCAATGGTATGTTGTACTATATCTTGTACCATTCCCTTTTTTGTACCTCTCTTGTATCTCTTATACCTCTTTAGCATCTCTCGTATCCTTATTGTATGTCATGTTTTTAACTTGTTTTCCCCATTTAAAATTTCTGTTTTTGTGGTAATCACAGACAATTTGGGGCCAAGAGCGTGTTCCACTATGGGTAAAGCCATATCGTATCTTTGTGACATCCGACAACAGTGGTATGATAGAGCCAGTACTAAATGCAGTGTCATTGCATCAGATCAAGAAGAACAGTAAGCTGTCGCTACTCAACTACTTTATTCGAGAGTTTGGTGGCTTGAACACAGAGGAATTCCTAAATGCGCAAAGGAACTTTGTGCAGAGCTGTGCTGCATATTGTCTAATCTGCTATCTTATCCAAGTAAAGGACAGGTAGGCCACAGTCTGTTGATTTCATCTAATTTATTTAAACACCATATGGAGGTTTAGGAATACGTTTGGATATGATCTGTAATCTAAAATTACCTTTCATGTTCCTTGGTGAGACATGGTACCCTAATGGACTTATCCTTCAGATTGGGCATTAAGTTGTTAGTCCAGTGTAGCTAGCAGCTCCCTGTAAAACATAAACTCGCTATTCGGAAAAGATATCTGTGATGTGATTTTTATAGGCAGGGTTAAAGGAATTTGCCATTTAAGAAAGCATTACATTTATTTTTCTGTTTATTAAACTCAAAAACATACAATTACATTAATAATCCAGTGGTAACTCAGCAAAGAGGTTGTGAGGAGGATAGGTTATGGTAAAACTCAAAATACACATTTGACTTTTTTTTTATTCAATTGTTAGTTGAAAAGATCAAGCTTTCTAAAAAATACATGCTACATAAAAATGCTATAGTAAAAAAATCTACATATTGTGTGGATTATGTTGTGTTGTAAAGGAGGAAATGTGTTTGATTATAATACTAGGGTTGTTATTTTTTACTTACCTGTGACCTGTAAAAGTAAAATTGACACTAAAGGCCAAGTATCCTGTTTCCTTGTATTGTGTTTACACTCATATCCTCCCTTGCCATGATCTGGGGATTCCCCATACCCTAAATTAGTCATTTAGTCACTAACAAGAAGGTAGCATTACCAAAAAAAGGCTCCCAGTTGGAGCGTTTGTCTATTCCCTGTATTTCCTTACTGTATTTTGTTTACTAATAAGGTATCCACATGGGATTCAGTTATCAGGCAACTTGTGGTATATTTATTTTTTTATGATTTTGTACAGTAATAAGGTACTTAAGATTACCCATCATGCACCTCCGCCGGATTTACCCTTTCTGCCATCTTTAATTGCCAGATCATAACATAATGTCTCCCTCAAGGGGACATAGTCACAAAAACCAATAGCAGTAAGCCAGGCTAGCCAGACATACCAGGGAAGTACATTGGCCCATACGGGATACAGGTAGTGGCCATAAGTGCTTACGCCAGTGGTCCCATCCGACTACTTAATACATTAATACATTTCTAAACTTTTATCCTTACAGACACAATGGTAATATTCTCCTTGACAACGAAGGCCATATTCTTCATATTGACTTTGGTTTCATTCTGACTGCATCACCTCGCAACCTCGGATTTGAGAGTTCCCACTTCAAGCTGACACCGGAATTTGTAGAGGTTGGTTTATAATAAGCTACACTACTCAGCATTGCCTTTGATTGACATTTTGTCTCAACACTAAATAAAGCTTCTATAAAACCCTCAAAATAATAATAATAATATAATAAAATGGTATTTACATAGTGCTTAATGGATCATAGATCCCTCTAGGGACTTTACTTAAGTCCTAAACTAAAATTAAAATTTGACTTATTATGTAAGACATGTAAATGGTTTGTACAGCATAATTAACAAGCAGTGATGATGGTATTGATAGTAAAATTAAAGTGACAGTGAAATTGATATTGCTTCAAGCATTTTTTTTAATGGATTTAAGCTTTAAGCAATATAGTAATAATATTATAATATAATAATATGATGTTGTAGTGCTTTTACCCATATGAAATGTTCAAAGGAGAGATAGAAACAGTAGATAATATGAAGGCAAGCCATTTTCCATTGGTTGCGTGTTGTGAGGTCTATTCTAATAAGTTTTTTGGTATAGTTTTTTTTATATATCCTTGTTTTATTATCGCTTTGTTTTTTGTAAAAATGAATTAATTCTGACAAAATTAAAATATGCAAAAAGATGTCCAGAAAAAAAGGGATAAACAAAATCAAGCAAGTTTAAAGTACCCTGGTCTTTTCCAAAAGTGTAGAACACTCAAAATTTCACTCACCTTTACTATAAACCAAGTCACAAGACATATACTATATATACAAACATCAGGACAAATATCAATATAAATATACACCAAGGTTTTATAATTACATTTACCAGGTTATACATTTACATCATAATATAATTTAGATAAACAAATATACATAGGTAATAAATTACAAAAATCGAATCGAATTTCATGTATGAAGCACAGTACTAAAACTCTTTTGGCAAAACAAAATTAAATATCTAATATCTGATTTTTTTTTTATAACAAAAAGTCTTTGCGAACTTGTTTAAAAACTACATAATTACCACATTCCATATTTTAAGTTGTTGTATACATTGTTTATTTTCATAATGCTTGTGTTTTGTGCAGGTGATGGGAGGTCTTGGAAGTGATATGTTTGAATATTTCAAAATTTTGATGTTACAAGGATTAATAGCTGCAAGGAAGCACCAAGACAAGATCATACAGTTGGTAGAGATCATGCAGATGGGAGTCGGTAAGCAACTGTCTTTCACATCTTCCTAAATATTCACGACGATGATAATATTAAAGAAGCTTACCAATTTTATATAATTGGTAATAAAAAGAAGAACTCATCTAGGAATCATTTTAAACCTGTGCATTAAAATGACCTGTCACTAAACCTGGATGTAGCGACACACCTGCTATGTCATCACAAATCTAGTTGAGTGCGTCTATGTAATGAACGCGCACAAGAATTTGTAATTTTAAAAAACTGGGATATTATGTAATCGAGTATGCTGAATCAGTTCTCAAATTGGTAAACTTCTCCCTTAATATTAAAAAAATGGTACCACTTTTAAGCTGTTATGTGATAAATATGTCATTTATCCATGGGTATTGATGGTGTCATTTCATGGGTAAGTCACTGGTATTTGTCAGAGAAAACTTCAGGTGTAGACAAACTCAAAGTATAGTAGTCGCATACCCTTAAAATAGATGATAGATGATTTAGTCATCTGTACATTGTTCTTGTATTTCTGAATGAAAATTATATGTTGATCAGATATGTGTCTGATGTAGAAAGATGTTTTTTTATGAAATCAAATACTGTACAGTGTATGAAATTGCAATAACAAAATGCCTCTTCAAATAGATACATTAATAACAATTTCAAAATATTTAATATTTATCATTATCATCACATGGTTTCAAATATTTAATATTGGGGGTGATTTAATCGTAAATATTTGTAAACAGTATTACATATACAATATGTATACAGACTAGTCGACCATCTTACAGATGACTAATCTTTAAACAGTGTACTTAAGTGAAATGCTACTCTCTAATGTAAATTTAGAATCAATGCAACTACAAAAACAACCTATATAAATGCTCCTCTTACGAAAGGCATTGTAATCTTAAGGTGTTTATCTTGGACTTGTTGAGTTCATATTTGTTTTGAATTTATGAGTTTATTCTGACATATCTCATATGACCTACCAGTAAATCTCAGTCCTGCAAACATGAATGTGTCAGGTTATTTCGTAAATACTTACCTGAATGAGTTCATCCAGGCAAGTGCCTCACTTTTATACTAGTCAATACGTTTTTATACCTTGTTTTTGCAAACCTGCCACCACTGATAATGAACTTTTATAATTACTGTTTGCTAAATAAGGTGCAAAAGGCTTGCTCCAGTATGTTAATACTTGTAGTGTGATTGCTGAATCAAAAAACAAATTTAAATGTCTGGGTTTTTTTTCATTTCAGGTTCTCACCTACCATGTTTCAAGCAAGGATCAAGTACAGTGAAGCAACTGCGTGATCGATTCCATATGAACTTAACTGAGGAACAATTACAATTGTGGGTAGAGAACATGGTTGAGTCGAGTATGCATTCATTAACAACAAGACTTTATGATGGTTTTCAGTATTTTACAAATGGAATCTTGTGAAGAAATGATTAATTCCAGGCAATCATGTTTGCCGTTTGAAATAATGCAGAGTACTCGTTAGCGCATATAAACCATCAGTTCCTTCATTTGAATGATACTTTTTTATCCTGTCATGTGAATGGACAAACATGTCCATCTGAAGTGTGAATGGACCGCTTGCAAAGCGAGTAGGCAACTCTACTAATTCACCAAACTCAATTAGTAGACAACGCCGGTACTTGACAAAACTTATCATCATGTTGTCTTTCTAAGGAGTCAGGTTTTAGTAATCTCAATGCAATATTGTAGAAAATGGAAAGAATTTGTCTATTGTGCAGGAGAAAACATATACAAACCAGCAAACCATGTGTAACCTGGATGGACCAAAACCTTCAAGAAGTGGTTATAAAATTTTCAGTTCTTAATTAAATACTTGCCTTCTTACTCAAAGAGTACCAGTTTTGGGTTTTTTTTTTATATATATACAACAGACGTCATCCCAAAGTAAATATAACAACTTGAACCAAATTACCATTTAAGACTTACATTCTTGATTTCTTTTTCTTTTAATTAATGGTTATTTATAAATTTCTGATTTGTAACGGTGAAAATGTTGGCTTTGTATTCTTTGGATGATTCAGTCATATCTGAATTTTGAATGAGTGTATTCCAATTAGATTAACGCTTGCCTTTTGAGCTTTGTCAAATATTTCAATTCTTATGTGTTCTCTCCAGGTCGTTGAACTCAAAGGGATATGTTTTTTTTTTATGTTTAACAATGCAAGTGTGTAGTATTCCTCTTCACACAAAAAAATGTTTATTAATTAGCTATAAGGAACAGATATATGTATTAAAATTAACACGTTGACTGCCAGACCTTTTTTTAAGGCTCCTTCTTATGTGCCGGAACAAGCTTACATGTACAACATATTTTTTTGAAATTTTATCTTGTCATATATCATCAAAATGATGTGTCTAATAAATTGGCGGGAAAATATTAGCAGACAAGTAAACTTGGTGATGGCACTGTGAGAGCACTTTTTACTGACTATGCCAAGTGCGAGTTATCACATCCACTTTTTGCATTTTTAAAAGGGCGCCCTCACTTGTGGCGCTCGAGTGTACTACCGGCAACATAACAGAAGAAACATACATATGTTTTTTTACGTTATCTAGGTGTATCTTCCCCGAGCTACCAGCAGTTGAGTCTAGTTCTACAATGTATAACAAAGAAGTAATAAAAGCTAGAATGTTACCCCGATTTTGACTAGTATACTCGTCCCTGGCGTGCTCAGCAACACCCTGTGGGACGAGTATACTCTTCGCTGGCAGCCAACATGTTGAGTAGGAAAAAGCTAAGGCAACTACTGCTAAAGCAGGCACATACAGCACCAATGATTCGATAGATAAGGCATATGCAACAGATTGTTTTTAATGATGATCCACTCAGATTGCCCTGAAAAGTAGACAGCATTGCGTTGTCAAGTGCCTAACACAGAGAGGAGATTGATTCATTGGTCAAGGGTCGATTGAGGCGCTGTACCCGGCTTTAGTGTTACGCTCGGTTTCCATAGAATCGCTCACCCTATCAGCGACAGTATCGGGATGGTTGACCCTGGTTCAACTTCGCCAATTAGGTTTCAGAGCCTTCCCGATTGTGTCAGCACAGCTAGCAAAGCATCCTGATTTGTCTGCACAATCGGCAAAGTTACACCAGGTTTAACCTTCCCGACAACTGTCGGTGACAGTCGCCGATAGGGTAAGCGATTCTATGGAAACCAAGCTTTAGGTAGGGATGAATACTATTCCATTTAGGCAGGTAGTTGACATCCTGTCTCAAACCACTACATGATTAATTGTACTGTTCTGCTTACCATCAGTTATATATCTTTTTATTAATGTAAGTTATTTGAAATTTTAACTGAACATTTAAAACATTTCAGGTTTCAAATCACGATAATCAACTGCTTGACTTTCGTTAGGGCCACTTTTCATCGTAAAGGACCTATTCAGAATGTCAATCAATCTTAAACAATTAACCAATCATAACAGAGCATGGAATATATGTTCTTTATACACTTTTCCCCAATCCTTTTCTGTGGCCTTAGCCCAGTGTCTATGGGGTGGGGCTTGGGGAATGATTGATTTCAACTTTAATTCATTTTTGCCCAAACACTGAGGACTGATGCTGTAGTTCAGTGAAATGGTGCTTGCATCAATCTCACTAAAATTTGTAAACAGAACTCATCATCAATTTTCACCATTGTTATTACAGTTACAGTATTTACATCGCCACCATCAGTAGATAGCTTTTGAATGCATGACATAATGATGTCCCATAGCGTACGCAACAGTGTTGAGTTCATGTCGTCAGCATTCTGGGATGTTGTTTGGGCTGAATCTATGGTTGTGCAGGATGGTCATGGTTGAGTGGATCACTCAGTGTCATTTCTTCGACCTCCTTAATATCGTTGTCACCACCACCACCATCATTCTCACCAATCACATCACTGATTCATTGAATTACAGTATAAATGATGAGATTATTTTGTCATATTCCTCTGATGGTTCCAGTCTTTGAGTTCCTTTTGACATGAATTAAATTTTTCTCCTTTTAGAAATGGGAAATGCTTTACAATGCAAACACTAGCATCTTACAGTATATCTGATAAGTGATGATTTAGATACAATGCATGTTCAGTTTCTGGTGCTTCTTGTAATAACAAATTTGTAAAAATGTACATATAAAAATTTGTCTGAAACATGTAAAAAAGTATAATTATTAGTGAATATACAGTATATTGGCTTATTAAACAAAAATGCAATTATTGTAATGTATTAGAATAGAGGTAGGGAATATTAAGTTAATGATATTAAAACTGTTAAAGGCACTAAACTAAATGGGAAAAGAGTTAATATACAGGGCGCTGATTGGATTTTGTTAAGCGCTAGAGATTAAAAAAGAATGCCAATGTTATCCCATATGAGTACGGTTGGAAGAAATTTTGAGATGTTTTTAACTGAAATATAAACTCAACAAATTTCATATTCAAACACACTGATTAGAATTCATTAAATCAAGCCAGGAGAGTAAAAGTATATTGTTCCAAATGAAAAAAAAAACCGATTTATACAAAATAGTTATAAGTTTTTTTATTTCTACCAAAAACTATTTCTTTCCTACTTTTCATTCCAACAACTTGATCTGTTATGGTGTGTTCTTATGTAAACATTTTGAGATTAATACTTTATAAACTAATCAAGTACAAGAGTTCATGTAAGCTGAAAGAAATCAACACTAAATTCTTATAAGCCACAGTTGGAATTGAGTATCTGATGAAATCAGTTATTTGAATGGATAACAGACTTGGCAACTTGTTTTGAATGGGGTTAGAATTGTATACTGTATGAAGACGATCCTTGCTTTGCAAGAGAGCATGTGATTGTTAGATATGTAGATGACCTTTGCTACATGATAGCATGTGATCACTTGATATGTAAATGACCTTTGCTACATGATAGCATGTGATCATTAGATATTATATAAATGACATTTGCTACGTGGTAGCTTGTGATCATAATAAGGTATGTAATTGACCTTTCCTACATGATAGCATGTGATCAGTAGATGTAAATGACCTTTGCTACATGATAGCATGTGATCATTAGATATGTAAATGACCTTTGCTACCATGTGATCATTAGATATGTAAATGACCTTTGCTACATGATAGCATGTGATCATTAGATATGTAAATGACCTTTGCTACATGATAGCAGGTGATGAATAGATGTATTTAAAATATTACGAAATGAACATTAAAAGACTAAGTACAAATTATGATCTTTTTGTTTTGGTCTTTTTGATTCATTACATTGTACTGCTTGCTCTTTCTTAGATTTTTACATTATCTGCCTAAAAAACTGTAATGTACAGAAATAGTGTTTGCAATATACATCTCTGACTGCTATGTCTATGAGCATTAGTGTTACAGTATTTCAATATTGTGATAATGCGTAGAAAAGGCAGCCTGTGAAATACAGCAGTCGTGTCGAAGAACACTATGGATAAATAGATCTGTATCTGTATGGTATGCTGTACAGAACCAGGACATTGTGGACCGTCCATACATATTTCACTCAAGTTCAACCAATTAAATAATCATTTAAACAATCATTCGAATAATATTTATTTCACTCAAACGTATATATACAAAACAGACATATAATGGTAACAACACAACATGGTAACAACTTACATCGCTTACAATAATAACAATATGAGTGATGTTTTGCCCTACCTGACGTATTACCGTACCGAATACTCAGTACGTTCCCAAATACTTGCGAAAAAAATTTCGCAAGTTATTCGGGGTTGGAATCGAACCCGTGGTCAGGGGTGTCATTTTAAGCCGGCGGCCGGCGCAATCTCCGTCTATTATGATTTTTGCGCCGGCTATTAGAACGCCGGAGGTAAAAATAAAATAGTGGCTTGAAAGCTAGGCTCATCATGAGCTGGTCCTTGCCAAACCCTAAGAACCAATACTTCACTTTACAGAATCTAATGTCGTAAATCATGATATTTCTTGACCGAGCAAGTACTTGTTAAAACAATAATTTCTATTCTTTCCAAAGCCATTATTGAACAACACGCGATCCCTGACATGATCGAGGCGACGGCAAAAACCCACATGGGGAATCCCCAATTGTTTCGCCCGTATTCTTGTAAACAAGTTAGACTCAAATTGAGCCACGGAGCAGGCTTGGTTTGACTTTCGTAATATAATTTTGCTGGTTTATTAATAAACGTAATTTATCTTGTATTATTCATTGTGTTAACTTTTCAAAATATAAGTGATGAGCTGGAAATATTTGTGTTCTTTTCACTCTACTCGCAGTGGCGTAACAGGCGGGGGGTGGGGGGCTGGGCCCTGACGGTTTTTACCGGGCTGAACTAGCCGTCGTACCGGGCTGGGTAATAAGAGAAAAGAAAGAGGGGAGAGGGAGGGAAAGAGAAAGAAGAGGAAGAGAAAAGGAAAGGAAAAGAAAAAGAGGAGAGAAAAATGAAGACAAGAATAAAAAGGAAGATATCATAATGACCAGACTCACAACACCCTGCAACCTCTTCTCCACTTAACTTCTTTGATCTAAGCTGCCAGATGGCGTAGGCTAACCACCGGGGAGCAAGGAGAAAATATCTATCTTTGGAAAATCTTTCCCACCCCTTTATAAATGCCCTTTTCATCCCCTGAAAGTGCCTGAAAATCTCAAATTTCGCGCGCTTCGCGCGTCTTTTTTCTTGTCAGGATACACCAATTTCCTCTAAAAATTGCACATTTTAGGGATTTGGGATCAATTCCGACGAAATTAGAATTAAAAACACCGGGGGACAAGGGGAAAATATCCATCTTTGGAAAATCTTTCCCAAGCCCTTGATAAATGCCCTTCTCATCCTCTGAAATCCTCAAATTTCGCGCGCTCCACGTGCATTTCTTGTCAGAGTAGGCCAATTTCCTCTAAAAATTGCACATTTTAGGGATTTTGGATCAATTCCGACGAAATTAGAATTAAAAACACCGGGGGACAAGGGGAAAATATCCATCTTTGGAAAATCTTTCCCCACCCCTTGATAAATGCCCTTTTCATCCTCTGAAAGCAGGCCCGTAACTAGGACTTTTTTTTGGGGGGGGGGTTCAAGTTTGGAAAAAGTGGAGCATTTTGAAGATGTTAACTACCAACCAATTGCGCTGACCACATAAATAAGAGTTCCATCTTGAAACTTGTATTAAAAGTTGCAGGACTACTTTATTGGTTTGATAAATAGTACAATCATACATAAGATAAACGAATCTGCAATATATTGTATATAACAACAATGTAACGCATAATAAATCGATTAGTATTGCAAAATCAAAATAATATGTTTTTGTGTTCAACTGAACTAAAAAATCTCATACTTGACTATTACTTAAGAGACTCTGAAACTTACCCATTAAGAAATACTAGTATCCTAATTCTAATAATATCTCTGTGAAAAACCAGTTAAAAATGCAACTATTTCTTTTCAGTCATGCTATTGAATACTTAGCTTCAATACATACATTTGCATCAACTAAAGCCAAAGACAATCAAGCTGATACTTGCTTATATAAATATCATGAGAACTACAAAGTTACAAACTTTAATACAAATTCGTCAAATGTGCATAATAATTTGCAAAATCGAATATTTATTATAGTTATATACTTATTAATTACAATCTTCATAAATTGTGATAAACCAAAATGCTATTTGTATTCCATAAGTTCATGACTAATGTTTCTATTTAGCTTAATTGTTTTTAGTATCAATGAATAAGAATAGATTTTAAGATAGATCGTTTTAACCTAAAAGAAGGGCCTCAATGTGTATTGATGGTGAAAGAATATGTTTGTAATAAATAAAACCATTATGAAAATGCTTATAATTAGTTTCAAACACACGTGTGTGGCCTATATTATAAATAAGATAAGCCCTTTGTCGTATTGTTTTCTATATGTCGAGGGGGTGGGATGGGTATGATAAATTACTAACCGGGAAAATTATTACCTTTGCCCCCCCCCCACCCTGACCCAAGACCCCTGTTACGCGCCTGACTCGCATCATTTTTGAATGACCACACTTGATTGAAGAAGACGACATGCATGCCGTATTGTGTATGAAGCCCAGCGCCAGAAATTCCCTTCTAAATCTAGCATTTACCACGAAAATTAAAACAGCATTCTTCTAGGCCTAAGCTTATATTTTGTACGATACTAAATCATCACAACAAAGTAAATAAAAGTTTAATTTCATTAAAACACACTGTCACAAACAACATCCAACCAAAGAACACCGTTAAATCGGATCTAGCCCCGATCGAGCATCGGCGAAGAACACCTGAACAAGACTACTTTTATAGAGAGCACGTGATCGGCCGTACGAAGTATGCTATGAAGCAAGAAGTAAAAGCTTCGTCCGTCATAATATAGCATAGAATATGCGTGTATATTTTGTAAGATATTGTATTTAATCATCACAAATATTAAGTCCAAAAAAAAAATTCTGGTCGAGCGTTGAACCCCGATCGAGCGAAGAACATCGAGAAAGACCACGTGATGCAACCTACGAAGTATGCTAGGAAGCAAAAAGTAAACAACCAACCTCGTCTATCATAATGGCATGTAATATGCGTGTAAAGATAACAATGATTCAATAATCTTTTTGATAATTGAAATAAACATATACTGTATCAAGTTTACGTTTAATAAAAACAATTTTTTTACAAACGTCAAACCTTCGTGGTTCAAAATCCATGGACGTGGTTCAATGGGTCAACGTACATTCGCGTGAACAAATTCGGGGATTCCCCGTGTGCGTTGATTTGCCGTCGATTCGATTGTGCGTTGTTCAGTAACAACTTTTAAACAAGTAGAAATTTCTTTGCTGTTACAAATATATGTTTGCTTAATGTATTTTGACTAAACAATTAAAAGCTTGGAGAAGATATGATTTTCATTCACCGTTAATTTATGCTGCATTCTAAGCTTATCTTGGCATTGACAACAAAAGGGCCACTACAAATCATGTGCCGTCGTTAGCTTCGGGCACCCCGGCAAATTGAATAATGCCGACGCATTATTTTATTTTGTGTACGTTTAAGTTTTAGCATTTGATTACCAATTTTGTATCTCATTGCTTCTTTCAGTATTTTGCCTTCTGGATTATAAATAGAAGTTGCTATAATTTATTTATTTTTTGTATATTTGCAAAGGTAATTAAAAATACCTGCATGAAGAAAAGGTAGACCGAACTAGCGATCGAGTACGCTATTCAGCTATAGTGGGTATTCGAGCCCAAACCACGAAGTTAGGCGATTTACACAGTAATTAAAGAAAATAGCCTTTACTAAAACGTCTCATACACGCTTTGTGTGTAAAGTTGAGCGTGATTTAAATTACCAGAAACCATTGTTACATGTTTATGAATGTAACGTCATCTTTTCTCTACGATTGTGTATGCCAAATGTGAAATATAACGAGAGTAAATCGTACTATTTTGGGTATAAAACGTACATTGGTCGTTGTCTGCCTGTGTTACAGCACGACGACGGCAGCAGTCGTGTATTCACTCACAGTGAATCATGGCGTCGATCGATGAATGTGCTTGTTGCAAAACTCATGAAATGTGTTGTACTTGAGGAGAGCTAAGTTATTCAAAATTATTGAATACCGGTAATGTTCCTAAATTCACACCAATTACTTTGGCAGACTGCACGGAGCTGAACGTTTACAGTCTGGCCTCACTCAATCATCACATCCAGCCATGTCGCGTTGTGCAACAAGTGTCAGGGGCCGAGGCCTATAACCTGTAAAAACTCTACGTATATTTAACTAAATTTTACATGAAAATCAAATCAAACATCTTCTGATGGTTCTATGAACCTTCCTTAACCTACCAAAGTATCTTACCCGCGTACTTTGTTTTTTTTTTTGCTTGTTTTTCCTGGACCATACAAAAACTCGTTATAGAATATTACTTTTAGGCTCTGTTTAGAATTTTATACCCACTCGGCCAAATTGTGATGACGTCATCTTTCGTCGCTAATTCGGTCTATTGAATGTAAATAGTTTAAAAAGAAACACTGTGAAAGAAAATACATAATTACAGTACAAACACTGTATGATGTGCTATCCATTTATTTATTGTTATTGTATGACAACATACAACTTTTACTATGTCGACTTGCTAAGATAATCTATCTCGCCATGACAACATACAATGTTTACTATGTCGACTTGTCAAGATACTCTATCTCGCCATGACAACATACAATTTTTACTATGTCGACTTGTCAAGATAATCTATTTCGCCATGACAACATACAATTTTTACTATGTCGACTTGTCAAGATAATCTATCTCGCCATGACAACATACAATTTTTATTATGTCGACTTGTCAAGATAACCTATCTTGCCATGACAACATACAACTTATATTATGTCGACTTGTCAAGATAATATCTCGCCATAACAACATACAATTTTTATTATGTCGACTTGTCAAGATAACCTATCTTGCCATGACAACATACAACTTATATGATGTCGACTTGTCAAGATAATCTATCTCGCCATGACAACATACAATATGTATTATG